TCTCAGTGTATAAATCCAGCTTAAGCAGGCACAATTTCAAAACGTTGCGTCGCGATTGCGTTGCGTTTGACGCCGTCGAACGCCGTCCCATTGTGTTTCACGCTTGAGACATCCAGTTAACGTATTATAATATAATATAATAATATTTTATAAAAAGAGATGGGTTTTAAATTTTGGCCTGTGTAAAAAAAACACAATTTTAAGCGTCGTGATTGGTCTATAATAAATCCTATTCAACTCAACGCTTTTTTCTTAAATGGAATGAACTTATATACATAAATATATACCGATAGGTTAAAAATATGAGTTGGAGATGTGCGAAGGGTTGCCAGGTTTACATTTTAAAATCACAGGACACAGGTTAAAAAAAGGAAGGAGAGATACAAATAAGGAAGCTTTCTGTCCTAGGACATTAAACTAAAACAAAATTTATTTTACATAAAAAAAAAAAAAAAAAATTATTTGCCATTGGTTTCAATGGCCCGGGAAAAATACACATAAATGTAAATATAGGGATATATCCTTCATTGTTATTTTCTATCGGTCTCAATAGGGAAAATGTAAATGTTATGGTGTGCCTATGGGTATATTCCTATACATTTTCTATCGGGCCGTCCCTGCTTAAAAATCAAGGGTGGATATCCCTATAGAACATCCATAAATCCCAACTATGGGTCCTATACATGTATGTTCTATAGGGATATCCACCCTTGATTTTTAAGCAGGGACGGCCCGATAGAAAATGTATAGGAATATACCCGATAGAAAATGTATAGGAATATACCCGTATGCATACGGATACACCCTATAGAAACACCATACATTCCGATACAAATATCTATATACAAGGTGTCCCTAAACTTAGTGGCATAAATTTAGGAGCAGATTAAGCAAGTCAAAATAAGACGAAAATCTAAATAAATGTTTTTCCTAATTACGTATGTTTAAAAGATACAGGGTGATAAAGTGTTACTTATCATATCAGTTTTTTTAATATAACTTCTACTATGGTAGACTTGGAAAGGTGATATTTTGCGAACAGTCACTTACTACCAAAACACATATTCACACATAATTACAATTGTTTGAGTGAAACAGTGTCGTAGAAACAGGGGTTGCTTATTCTTATTGTCCCATACAAACTTTGAGGTTAGGTTTTTATACCATTTGATGCAATTTTTCGATTACTCAGTTCGGCTACTATTAAAAAGGTGTACCTCTCAAACTTCGATAAAATTAACCGTTTTCGAGATATTTGAGATTACAATAATTGTTATATCGCATTAAAGGACGAAAATTTATATGAAAAAAAAAATTTAATTGAAAAAACTACATTTTTTTAATGTGACGGTCAGGGCAAAAAGTCCCGAGGCTCATGGAATGCCCTTTTTAGTTTTTTCAATTAAAAAATAAAATTTGTTATCATATACCTTTTAATCCCTTTAAATAATGCGATAAAACAATTATTGTAATCTCAAATATCTCGGAAACGGTTTATTTTATCGAAGTTTGAGAGGTATACCTTTTTAATGGTAGCCGAACTGTTTAATCTAATAAATTGCATCAAATGTTACAAAAACCTAACCTCAAAGTTTATATGGGACAAAAAGCTTAAGCAACCCCTGTTTCTACGACACTGTCCTTACTCGAACAATTGTAATTACGTGTGAATATGTGTTTTGGTAGTAAGTGACTGTTCGCAAAATATCCCCTTTCCAAGTCTACCATATATGTAGAAGTTATATTAAAAAAACTGATATGATAAGTAACACTTTATCACCCTGTATCTTTTAAACATACGTAATTAGGAAAAATATTTATTTAGATTTTCGTCTTATTTTGACTTGCTTAATCTGCTCCTAAATTTATGCCACTAAGTTTAGGGACACCTTGTATATAGATATTTGTATCGGAATGTATGGTGTTTCTATAGGGTGTATCCGTATGTATAGGACCCATAGTTGTGATTTATGGTTGTTCTATAGGGATATCCACCCTTGATTTTTAAGCAGGGACGGCCCGATAGAAAAAAGTTTATATGGGACAAAAAGCTTAAGCAACCCCTGTTTCTACGACACTGTCCTTACTCGAACAATTGTAATTACGTGTGAATATGTGTTTTGGTCACGGTCTTATATACAGGTCTTGCAACTTTAAGCTTCGACGTGGCTTCCTTAACGTGCCAAGCCGCTAGGTGGCGCTAAGATCGAAGGGGTAAAGTCAATTAAACTACTACTTAGTTAAATGTGGAACTACTGCATAACCATAACCTAACTTTTTAAATTCTTTTTCTATGTTTTGTTTACATTTTCAAAAATTTAATATTTGTGAGTTTGTTTCGGATAATTTATGTTAACAAAATAGGACAACAAAGTCTATACTCTATGCACAAAGTCCTCGGCCGTCACATGCCCAGACCAAACATGTTAATGTATAAAATACATACGTATATCATATATATGTTACGGCTAATGTGTAAACATGGATAGTTTATTAAGTAGCTGGGTAGTTTATAAACTAGCCAAACTGTCAGCTATTTTAATTGAAAACGTATTTTAACTAAATTAGCGGCTAGTTTGTAAACCAACCAAGGGTCTTGGCTAATTTACTTGAAATTATTTAGGAATAGCTGGATAATTTGTAAACTATCCAATTCAATTTGGCTAATATGAAAACCAAAATTTCTAGTAACACAACAAACTAACCAACCAATATTCTGGCTAATTTATTAATAACCGATTTTTTTATTGTCTTGGCGGGGATGGGTTGATTGTTTATTTAAAATAATATATATTTCACCAACACGATGTGCTTAATTATATAATAATCATACAAAATGTGAAGGTGTCAATAATATGTTTTTTATTGCACATTGCCATGTTTTTAACCGCTCCTTATTTGTTAGCACTTTAAACATGGGCCGCTTAATTTTAATGCCGGAACGATAGCTTTGCTGGTTACATTTTGGCACAACACAGGTCTTCATGTCTATTAAAAATCACAAATACAAATGTATAACAAGAACAAATATAACAAGAAAAAATAGAACAATATAATATAACAATAACGAATATCACAATAACAATAAGTAAAAACTCCCTGTAACAAAATACACAAGCTTGCGTTTATCTCTGCAAGCTTGTTTATAAAAATGTAGGTTATGTTTCTTCACAGAACATAAGTAGGTAGTTCATTTGACCTTTATCCCATAGACTTTAAGGACTTAGAGCCGGTTTTACAATCGTTAGATTAAGTTAGCTTATTTGGCGGATAACTTTCATAGAAACCTTCTATCTAAGAAAATTATCCACCAGAGAGCTTATCTAACGATTGTAAAACCCAAAGATAAAGAAGGTAAAAACGACCTTTAAACATCTATGGTTCACCCTCAACTCGATGCGCCATCTGGTGGGTGTCTCATTAGAGAGGTCACTTTTCCTATTGAAATTGGGCGAAGTTGCAAGACCTGTATATTCTTTTTCTATGGTATATAAGACCGTGGTTTTGGTAGTAAGTAGAGGTGGGCCGGTTTGCGATTTTTCAAGAGCTGCGATGCAATGCGACTGCTCCGGCCGGAACACTGTGACAAAAAGCAGCGATTTTTCGAAGCAATGCGATTTGCGATGCTCCAGAGCAGTTTTGCTTGAGCAGTGCCACGGTAAAAGCAAAACACTGGCGAAAGTGCGAACGGCGAAGCAACTAGAGATAAGCGTTATTTCACGAACTGTGATTTTTTCACTGATATTTAAAAATCACGAATAAGAACTGCTACTTACATCTATTAATTAGCGTGATCTGTGATTTTTCACTCAGCGATATTTTACGAATGGTGTTTTTTCACTGATATTAAAAAGTATTAAATAACAATAAACCGTGAGTTGCTATTTATCAAAATAATTTTTTTCACTGATATTAAAAAGCATTAAATAACGATAAAACCGTAAATTGCTATTTATCACAATAATTTAACATATTATTTAACATAATATTTTCGGCCGCAGGCAAACCTGCCATTACTGGCAAAAATAGAACAAAAAAATTTGAAATAGTTTTTTAAACTCCCGTATAAATAAGATTTTAAATGCCCGTAAGTATTAGGACAGCATAAAGTCGAATAGGTCTGACTGCTGCTGAAGAGAGCAACAGCGACGGCCTGGTATAATTAAAATTTCGGAGCAATTTAAATTTTAAATTGCTCCGAAATGTCGCTGCGATTTTTACTGCCGCGGAGCAGTTTGCGATTGCGACGCCACCGGAGCAGTGACAAAGTAGCAGTTTGCGAAATCGCAACACACCTCTAGTAGTAAGTGACTGTTCGCAAAATATCCCCTTTCCAAGTCTACCATAGTAGAAGTTACTTATATTAAAAAAACTGATATGATAAGTAACACTTTATCACCCTGTAACTTTTAAACATACGTAATTAGAAAAAATATTTATTTAGATTTTCGTCTTATTTTGACTTAAGTCAAGCAATTGCTTAATCTGTTCCTAAATTTATGCCACTAAGTTTAGGGACACCTTGTATAGATATATCGGTTTGAACAGGGTCTCTATAGAGACCCTGCTTAAAATACCCCATATATATATATATAGGTATGGGATATTTTAAGCAGGGATATGACTTATGTTCTGTGGATATGACATGTGCTAACAAAGGGTATACCCTCTAACCATAAATATGTTTCCTGAATTAATGCGAATACGTTTAAGGCTCTACTGAAAAATTGCTTTTTTTGACTTATACCCTTATGCCTTTTACCCACAGAACGCTTCTATATTGATTTTGTACCTACAATTTTTTACAGCCCACAATGTAGGGTTTTAACATTAATAATTTGAAGTTAAAACCCTACCTAGTAATATTTTGGACAAAATCAGTAAAAGTCTTTTATAACACACCCTGTATAGCTATGAATAGTTAGTGTTGATGCTGCATAAAATATAGGACATTTGATGACTCATCAATGAGAAGTGCAGTGTACTCCACTGTGTTTTAGATATAATGTTGCTAGTTACTCTGTGTTACTGTTGTAATCTCTGCTTACATCATTGAAATGCTGCGTGTCTTATTAATCAAATCGTAAATTTGTAAATACATTATCATTGATTTTCCAACTTATTTAAACGAGTAACTCGGATGGAATTCAACATGATTATATATCATAGTTTAGTATTTTCGGTGTTTTTTACGACATTTGTTAGTTGCGAAGTATTTACGGCACTGGCTGATTTAGAAGAATTACTTCACACTGAAGGTTATTTAATTAATACGTTGGATAATTACATTAAAGCAGAAGAGCAGAGAATATATTTACTGAAAAGGTATGCAGAAATATACCATCAACAGCATAACAAAGCAATAGAAGATGTACAAGTATACATTGCCAATCCCATCAATGCATACACCTTAGTAAAGAGGTTATCTACTGATTGGCATCAAGTTGAATCTCTTATGAGCACTGACATAAGCAAGGAATATTTAAACAATTTAACCCTTTACAAAGAAACGATGAAATTCCCAACTGAAGAAGACCTAAACGGAGCTGCAGTTGCATTAACAAGACTGCAGGATACTTATCGACTGGACACATCTTCATTAGCAAGAGGAGAACTAAATGGTGTAAAATATAGTGCAGAATTATCTGCAGCTGATTGTTTTGAACTTGGAAGACAATCCTACAATAATGGTGATTACTATCATACCCAACTATGGATGAGAGAAGCAGACGAAAGACTGGCCAAAGAAAAAAATAATACTGTGGACAAAAGTGAGATATTGGAGTACTTGGCATTTTCCACTTACAAGCAAGGAAATGTCCCTCTAGCTTTAGATCTGACTATGAAATTATTGGAAATTTTGCCCACACACTCCAGAGCTTTAGGAAATAAGGTATACTATGAAGAAGAATTACTTAAAAGCTTAAACTATAAACGAAAAGGAGATGATGAATCTGATGAAGTTCCAGATGATAAACTTCTTGTTGTACCAGATACTTATGCACAGGAACATTATGAACAGCTTTGTAGAGGTGAAGTAACCCTGCCAGAAGTAAAGAAGGCAAAACTAAAATGTAAATATTTCCACAACAATAACCCTTTTCTTAAAATTGCTCCATTTAAAGTAGAAGAAGCTCACTTGGATCCTGATTTATTTATATACCATAATGTTATGTCTGATAATGAAATTGAAACTATTAAAAAATTAGCTTATCCAAGATTCAGAAGGGCTACAGTTCAAAACTCTCTAACTGGAGAATTGGAAATTGCCAAATATAGGATAAGTAAATCTGCTTGGTTAAAAGAACACGAACATAAGTACATTGCAGATATATCCCAGAGGGTTTCAGATATGACTGGATTAACAATGGAAACTGCTGAAGAATTACAGGTGGTCAATTATGGAATTGGGGGTCATTATGAACCACATTTTGATTTTGCCAGAAGAGATGAGAAAAATGCATTCAAAAGTCTGGGCACAGGAAATAGAATTGCAACCGTTTTATTTTACATGAGTAATGTGGAGCAAGGTGGAGCGACGGTTTTTCCACAAATTGGTACTGCATTATGGCCAAAAAAAGGAACTGCTGCTTTTTGGTTTAATCTATTTCCAAGTGGTGATGGAGATGCAAGAACAAGACATGCAGCATGCCCGGTTTTAGCCGGATCCAAGTGGGTGTCTAACAAATGGATTCATGAAAGGGGACAAGAATTTTTAAGGAAATGCACCCTTGAAAGGCCACCCTCAGATATAACTGCATAGAATAATAACATTTATTTTTTAAATTTCTGACTGTAATTAATAAAATATTATGTAATTAATTAAATTAAATACGTATTTAATATATATATTTTTTTATTTTTCATAGTAAATAAATTGCCTTCATTCCTTCCTTCCTCCTGTAGAAGATGAACAATACAATCCCGTACGGGAATCTATAAACGGCAGTAAGGTTTTCGTATTGTTCATCTTTTACGGGAGGAAGGAAGAAAGACAATCTATAAATCAGGCTTAAGTTATTGTTTGAAACCAATTTTCTTTATAGATTCTTTTATATTCATACAAAATAGTATTAGCTAATTTATATTTAATTTAATAATAGTACCTGTTTATTTACATAAAATTATCTGCCTCCTTTAGAACTTACTAGATTCTGTGAAGCAGCATCAAGATTGCACATTTAACCATTGCAGTGTTGCCAGCTTGTGCAGCATAATGTTTGCGCTCCCGTTAACACTTTGTGACGTCACACACTGTAAATCGGTATTATTTTTCGGGGTACGCTTCGTGACACCCAAACACGAGAGATCTAAACTCGATGGGTCTAAAATTTAAAAGCGCGATGGGTCTAAAATGTGTGGCAACGTTGTTTTTGAAACGTCAAAGGCGTAAGGCTTCGTTCACATTTTACATAAAAAATAGTATTTTCTTAAATGAGATTCACCTACTTTCGTTCAAACAAGATTTCGGTCAAAGAAAAGTAGGTACTTCTGAAACAGATATGCAAAATTGAAAATTGTGGTGGAAAAGGTCATTCAGGGATTGTTTTGAATGAAAGGGTGGATTCCATTGCCAAAGCAGCATCAAACAAAAATACAGATAAATATAAAATCCCCCTTTTTAGAATATCGGAAAATACAAATATACAATAATAATTATTGGAATAAATTGCAAGATATAGGTACCTACACATATTGTGAGTTACATTTAAGTGGATCTTGGTGTTATCCAGCACTCATGGAGAGTTATTTTTGTATGGAGTATGAGATTATAGGAGTTTTATGACAATTTTACCAAGGAAATTGTTTAGAAGGTAAAGATTGATATAAATGTTAATGTTTAATGTATATAGGTATGTATGTATAACTGGTGACATGAAAAAGTTTTACTTTAATGGTGACATGGAGTCTCTCAGACTCACTGGATTATTATAATATTCTGACTAGGAAAACGAGGAGCCTCTAGGCAAAAATCCAAAAAATTACCTCCTCCACCAACTTGGATATCTCTTAGCTTGTTGAAGAAAAGTGCAGTAATTTGGAAGGTAGTATAATATTATTTATAATGTATTTAATTAATGTTGTTCTGTTTATTACTTTTATGTCAATACTAATTAAATTTCACTGTTACAGATTTCCAAGCAGGCAGTAATTTTTCCAAAAAGAGCCCTATTCCATTAGTATAGGTAAGTTTTCTGAGCTGTTCTTAAAACTGTTAGTGTACCTAATGAATGCATTTTAGGTGAAACATTCAAAACAGGTACTAGTTGTTGTTGCAATCCACAACTGTTATATAATATATATTATATACAGTCTCTGTTATTAGAAATTAATTCCAAAGTGGGAAAATGTGGAGCAGAATATCGTAAGGAAGTTTTTGAAAACTTCCTTTCAGATTCTGAAAATTATTCAGCATTGGTAATTTCTTTTTTATCCATTATCCTAGAATTTTCATAAAGTTACATTAGTGAGTATAGTTTCTTTTTCTGATTTATAGGTTCAGTTTTTTTCACAACTTGGAATCTATGAATTTATAAGACGATGTCTTGCACCCATAATTACAGATAGTCTAGATGAACAGTTCTCCTTCTTAGGGAAAAAAGGAAAAACTATGTTTGGAAGCTTATCATTAGCCAAAGCGATAATCGGTAAATAAAAATAGACTTTTAAACCCAACCCCTTTTGATTTTGCAGATTTTTTTTATATTTTTTTACCCCACTTAAAATAAAAGAATATTTCCAATTTTTTTTTATCCAACTATAGAAGCATCGAACCCACAGCTGAGTGGGTCATGTTTCTATGTTGGTAGTTACCCAGAAACTTTTTCTTAACAATATAATTTTTATTTCAGAATGTGCACAGAAATATGAGCATTCAATTAATTACAAAGAGGCTGAGCAACGAATTGGAGATTGGTTAAGAAGGGCAAAAGAAAGATGTTAAGAGGAGAAATAAAAAAAATTGAATTAAATGTTTAATTTTAGCTATAGGTATATAATATATTATGTATGTATATGTATGTTTTTTTCATTATACTTTTAGAATTTTATGTAGCTGGGGTATTTGGTTCCTTAAAGGTCTTTGGGGTGCTTATTTGTTTCCTTTTATATTATTTATTTATATTAACTGAGTATTTACAGTATTTCAGTTTTTTACTTTAAATTAAATATGTTTTAAGTATTTAAACATTATTACAGTTAAGTATTTGTATTTACAAATTAATTAACAAGTTAAGAAATAACGAGCTGCAAGCTTTAGGTAGTAATGGTATTGGTGCCTGTTTGTCTGCATAAACTGTGTCCTTTCAAAATAAAACTTATTTTGAAAATTTTCGAATTATTTCAAACCTTTCTAAAAGTCATTTAGGAATATAAAATATAACATACTAAAAACGACCTAAGGATGTTCCCAGAATGTATGTCATCCTAGAAACATCCTGATGGGATGGATGTGGAGTCTAAGAGACTCCCCTTCAACTTTAAACACATGTGTTGGGTTGGGTCATATTTACATACACAATTTGGAAACAACTAATATTGGTAGAGAGTGTTAATACCATCTAGGATTAAAGGTACCAGGAGGACGAAACAGATTTAGCGCGAACTTTTAAATATGCACTGATTGCAAAGTGCTTAGAAGTCTGGTATAGGTACTCCAGGTCACCAATTAGGGGTTAAAATACTTTCATGCTAGCATAATTATTATTAAAGGCAATGTAATTATTTGTTTAGTGTTAAATAAAAAATAAAACTTAATTAATTCCCTATAATACCAATATATCAGTTATGGGGCCTATATAAAACTTATATAAATTTATAATGACATTGAATAGAAAATTTGTGCGCGAGCAGAATTTAAATTGAAATTTGCGAAAAAAAGTTAGTTTTCAGCCCGCCTTACCAGCCCCCTACCTCCAAAATTAAGATTATTCAAAATAAAGTGGTGTAATTCATAATTCACTAAAGTTTATCGACAAAATTAAAAATTTATTTTAAAAATCCAAGACTTACAGAATTATGAATTGCACCACTTGAATAATCTTAATTGGGTGTAGGGGGCTGGTGAGGCGCGCTGAAAAACTAACTTTTTTTCGCAAACTTTAATTTATATTATGCTTGCGCAGAAATTGTCTATTCAATGTCATTATAAACTCATATATGTTTTATATGGGCCTCATGTCTAATAACTGAGATATTGGTATACCCAAAATTCACCAGCCGCCACTGTCTAAACCTTTTTTATCCTAAATCCTATGTTTGTAATTTGATTAGAATAAACAAATGTATACATAACTCAGAATAAACAAGTAAACCAAAATTTTTCACAATTTTCGTTCCTAGGCTCATTTTGACATCATATGGAAGTCCACTAGTGGACTTCCATATGATGTCAAAATGAAGCTTCCAACGTACAAAATTGCAAAAAAAAATGTTCATTCAAAAAATTTAACTTTGGGTTAATAACGATTTAAATCATATTTATTAATCATTACATAAATTTATTCTATAAGGGGCTATTTTAAAAAAGAAAAAATATTTTTAATGTTTTTGTTTTTTTTTTGAACATCCAGTATGGATATCCAATGGATATCCAGTGGATATACATTAGATGTACAGTGGATATACTTTGGACATACATTATAATGTATGTATGTATGTATAACATTATAATGTATGTATGTATGTATAACTATAGTTATCCATTGGATATATATTATAGATATATCTACTGTATACTTTGTTGAAATTGGGTTAATAACGATTTAAATCATATTTATTAATCATTACATAAATTTATCCTATAAGGGGCTATTTTAAAAAAGAAAAAAATATTTTTAATGTTTTTGTTTTTTTTTGAACATCCAGTATGGATATCCAGTGGATATACATTAGATATACTTTGGACATACATTAGTTATCCATTGGATGTATATTAGAGATACTTTGTTGAAATTGCACCCATGCATGGGTTAATATTAACCCATGCATGGGTGCAATTTATCGTTAACGATTTAAATCATATTTATTAATCATTACATAAATTTATCCTAAAAGGGGCTATTTTTAAAAAGAAAAAAATATTTTTAATGTTTTTGTTTTTTTTTGAACATCTAGATGTTCAAAAAAAGTATACTAGTATACTAGCTATAGCTACTAGCTAGTATGGATATCCATTGGATATCCAATGGATATCGTAAAAGGCATGGATGTTATATGGACATTGGGATAGCCATTGGATATCCATGGATATCCAATGCATTGGATAGCGTGTTCTGTGTGGGATAGCTAGATAAACTATTTAATTTAAAAAATAATATCCCAGATCGCCAATGAAATAGGATTATTATTACATAAGGGAACATTTTTATAATGAATAAACAGGATTGTTGTGGGAAAATTCATATTTCTATTGTAAATTATAATAGTTCCACACTGTGAGCAGATAACATCAAATAATAAATAAAATAAAAAGTTTTGAAATTAAACATTTAAAATAGGTACCTACTTATAAAAAGCATAAACTGTTTCCCATTTCGCTTCCTTTGTGATTTTTCCGAGGATCCGGCCAAATTGTTTACTTGAAATTTGATACAGGCGGCCAGTTATCTTATTTTTATTTATTTTGACTAGGGAATAAAATTCATATTGGTCTATCCCTGACAACATTCGTGATATTCATACGAACATCACGTCGTGATTTTCACAAATTTTATTCATACTGATATCATACAGAAGTCACCGCATGATAAATGAAAATCATACGAACGTCACGTCGTGATTTTCACAAATTTTATTCATACGGACATCATTCGGATGTCACTCCGTGAGAAATGAAAATCA